TATATATATATACAATTATTGAAATTAAAAGTTCAACTTAAGTTGTTCAAAATTGAATAATAAAATCAGTATAATAAAATCAGTACGATGTATCTAATTTTTGGAATGCAGATGAAGCTGTGCAATGGAGAATAAATACATACAGGACTCTTTATCGATGCCAGGGTTCTGAGAAAAAAAATATTGGGATCCTGGAGTCTAGTAACTCTAATGTGGACACAGGTGAATATCTCGATCCTCAGGAATCTCATGAACACACTAACCTAGCAGAAGTAGCCTCTTCTCCCCTACTAGAGGAGAGTAGCCTCCAATCACTCTCAGATGCTGCAGAGATGAACAAGATGAAACTTGCCCCTTTTTCAAGATTAGTCTTTATTACCTCTCATTGTTTCCAGGAAAATTACAAAGTCAAGTTCTAGCACAGCTAGAGAGAGAAATATAGTGCTTACTTCAGGATGTTACAGATTATCTGCTACAGAAATTTCAGGAACTGACTAATACCAACAAATACTAGTAGACTATTTGAGAGAATAAATCTTGAGGGTATTGGGCCAGAGGCTTGCAGCATGAGGTCAGACAGGGAGAACTGACTGGCATGGGGTTCTCACCTCCACTGAGTGCAGGTCTCAGTGCTCAGCACTCTGTCAAGGACACTTAGAGCTGGTAAATATCACACCACTGAGATGGTTTTCTGGAGTTTGGCCAGGTCAATAGCCTATAGTAAGTAAAGTGTAGCTGATAAAAATGGGGAAGTTTAGCTACATTTATTAATGTCAGAATGAAGAACTAACCATGTGACTTTGTTGTTTGGGAAGTCCTGGAAGACATTTCCATTCACCATTCCAAAGCAAAGCTCACTGAGTAACTTGATGGTGGACTTCCACTGTAGGCCGCAGCTGACAATAAGAGAGGCTGCTACAGAGTTGATGTCTCTATCAAAAGGATGAGAATATTCAGGAATGGGAGAAGACAGACAGTGGCGCTTAAATGTCAGAGGCAAGATAGGCATACTCTCTTTTACGATCAGCAAACCTGGACTATCAGGCTCCTTGTTCTCCATGGTGCCTTGATGTGGGCATGGCTAACAAATAATATGTGGCAAAGGGCAGTTTATATGAACAGTTAGCTAGGGTGTTACTTTCTAAGGGCGTACCTAGTAACACAAAGGATGAGATCCTTCAACTCGTCTCTATATATCTCAGTCAGTTCTTTCTCAAAGCCAGAGTCTTTGAAGGACCTGAGAGAACACCACAAGGATGTAATATAAATGTTCCCTCAATATGTTTCTAAATAGACCTTTAGCCATTTTATTTGAGTTACTGTGCATTGGGAAAAAGAAAATATTCAGGCTTTTTTTTTTCTTTAATTTGTTAGAGGGCACATATGCTTGATGGAGAGAGAGAGAGAGAATGAGAGAGCACCCCTTAGGGAGATGGTCATATTGCAATCCCTTTTCCTCCATTCTCCTTTTGGGATTTTGGGCACACTGCACATGTACCTCGCATGTCTTTCAAGCTACTAGGTCCGGGACTCAAACTGGTCAGTCAGCCACGTGGGATCCAGCCAATTTAAACACCATGGCACTGCCTGGCCCAAGAATACCCAGACTTTTCTGGACATGTGCCCTGTCTGGAAGTCATAAAGTGTAGTGCTATGTCAGATACAATTTGCTGTTGAAATATACAGATCAAGAAAAGAAGCCTGGAGGGAGGATGGAGAAGCACCCAGGTGGCGTTAGCATGACGTTAACACAGCTTACACACCATAGTGCCTCTCTCCCACAGGACTGCCCGAGGCCTTAGAGGGCCTTAGCAGTGTGATCACATGGCGACATACTTCTGTATTCATAATTTCATCTTTTTTTTTTTTCTAAAAGAGGAGTGCACATTGTAAAAGTTTCTGGCCTGTAATTCACATCTACCCCTGAAAATGGAATAATGATCCAGTACTTATACAATCTTCAGTTAGTAATTGATTAATTATATTATTTGAGTATTAACATTAATAATGCATTAACATGTTACTTGAATAATTAAAAATAGAATAAAAATATAAAAAAGCAAATGATCTCATCTATAATTTCATCCTATAATATATTTGGTATGGACAATTTTTCAGCACATACTTTTAACTCAAATTTTGTAGAAAGTCTGAATCCATACCATTTCACTGTCACACATCCTAGACTTTGTTTTCAATTTTATATCTTGACAAGGGAAGATATTCAGGCTACATCATTAAAAGAAAATATCAAAAGCAGGTTACAGAAACATGTGTGACATCATTCCTCTTGCATTTATAAATTGTGCTTTTATAAACATAAAAACATCGAAACAACATTTTAACTGTTAATAGTAGTCATCTCTGAGAAGTGGAATTATTAGAAGACAGGAGAGAGATTCTGTTTTACTTTTTAAATATTTCCAGTTTAAGCTCTCTCTGTCTTACATCATGAGCTGGGCTCTGCGGCTGTTGATAGAACGGAACTGAGTGTACAATGATAATTATCTAATGTGATACTATGATCAGATTCTTTTTTTTTCCCATAGTTATTTCTTACTTCATGTATGCCATAAACTGGTGTTTTCTGAAGAATTTGAGTATAGCGGATACCTTGTGATTCTAATGAATTTATTTCCTATTACGATCTCTTGGATAACCCGGTTAAGTGACATCTACAACCAAGAATTAAGATATGCTAATTACTCTTTTCTTACATTTTATATTCTAGAGGCTCTACTTAAGGTAATCTAAAATCTATGTGTGTGTGTGTGTGTGTGTGTGTGTACGTTATATCTCATAGGGAGATTTCCTAAACTCATTTTTCAACACTAGTACAGATAGTTTTTAAAGGCATGTATGAATTCTCCCTCACATCTCAAAACAAATAAACTTTATTTTTAAAGGTGGTTTTATGGTAATGCAATAGAAAATATGCATGCATGAAACATTGTTTGTACATTTGCAAGAATAAATTTTAAAATGATGTGTGTCAAAAGTGTATTTAAAAGTTATTAACCATGTTCTTAAACCTAGCAGGGTGATAACTACATGGATGCTTATTGTTTTTATACTGGATAGAAAGCGGTAGTTAGTTCACGGATATTCTTTTTTTTTTTAATAATATATTTTTGCTGGGACCAGCAGGTGGCATAGTGGTTAAGGCGCTGGATACTCACACATGGTCGACCATGGTTTGAGTGTTGGACCTGGTGGCTTGCTTTCTCACTTTCTCTCTCTCTCTTTCACACACACACACACACACATACACACACAGGTCAAATAAAAGAAAATGAATGAATAAATAAATAAAATTAAATAGTAAAACAATAATATTTTTGTCATAGGGCGTGTGTGCTCTCTAGAAAAGAACAGAAAAAAGGGGGGGGAGAAGTAAAAAATAAATCCCCATGGGGTATGACCACACCACAATCCCTTTTCCTCCATTCTCCTCTTGGAATTTTGGGCACACACACATGAATGCCTGGCATTTCAAGCCCCTGAGTCTGGTTCCCCAATGCAGAGTCGGACATGTGAGATCCAGTACCTTAATGGCTACACTAACATTCTCTTATACTTGAAAAACATTACGGAATTTGATTTTTTTAAATATAAAGATAGATGTTAAAGGATGGAAATGTATGCCCACAAACTAATGATGGCATTGTGTTATATGGATCAACAAGTTAAAACATAAAATACGTTTAACCTGAACATTTAAGTAGATAAATTGTATCTCATATTAGGACAAAAATAAATGAATTTCAAATTTGAGACCCTGGAATCAAATTCAATCACTTTGTACGTAAAAACTTCTCAGCTAGTTGGAAAGACCATAGAAAATTTCATAGAATTAAGAAGAAATACAACAGTTAGGGTTAAAGTTAGTAACAGCATGGACGTGAGGGTGATAAGTCTCCTAAACTCATTTAACACGCACCATTGCGGGAAGATGACTGAGCTGGGATTTAGCAGACCTCGGTTCTGGTTTTGATTTTCTCTGACAAGCTATTAGCCGTTGACCAACTTACTGAACTTTTCCCAGCCTCAAATTCCGGTATTATCGGGTTGTCAGAAAAGTCATGACACATTTTTGCAACAGATGGCACTAGTTTTTGGAAGTACTAAAATCATTCATATCTGTGGTATTGCTTTGTCATTTGATGGCTGGTAGTTCTTTTATTTTATTTTATTTTATTTTATTTTATTTATTTTTTTTTTGAGAGAGATTTTTGCTATAGTGCTCATGTGCTCACCAGGAAGACAGAGAGAGACAGAAAGTGAAAAATCACCCCCTCTGGGGGATGGCCACACCACAATCCCTTCACCTCCATTCTCCTCTCAGGATCTTGTGCATGCACACATATGTGTCTGGTGTGAGTTTAAGCCACTGGGTCTGGGACTTGAACCACGGTCGAGCAAAGCAACATAGCCATTACGCCAACTGCTGGTCCCAATAGCTGGTAGGTCCAGCTTTATGCAAAACAAAAGAAGCAAACGGATGATGTGGTTGAGTTTTGGACATTTTACAAGTTGAAGATGGAAGACCAAACTGTACATTTTCACCATATTTTACTATTTTAATTCCATAAAGGTAAGAACGGAAGTCAAGCTTGTGAAAAGTTGCATACAGGTTATGATGACAATGTTCTACAAGAACGTCAGTGCCACCAATGGGTGAGGGAATTCCGTGCTGGTGATACTGATCTCAACCATGCTCCTCAGTCAAAGAGGCCAACCAAGGTTGATGACAACAAAATGAAGGCATTGATCAAGTCAAACCCATGTTACATGACATGAAAGACTGCAGAAACATTGAACATTCATCATTCAAACATTCAGGACTTGAAGACCCTGGGACACGTAAGGAAGCTCCATATTTGGGTTCCCCATGAACTCAAAGAAGTTTATCTGACAGCGCATATGAAAATCTAAGATATGCTCATTATAAGTGAGGAAAACGATTCTTTTTGTATGCTGTTAACGATTGTCTGCCTATGTCCTGCCTGAAATACCATGATTATTTATGAAAAGTATCTTTAATAAAGCTGTATACAGTTTGGCTTGGAAAAAAAAATAATAAAACGACTGGTAACTGGTGAGGAGAAATAGATTGTTTCCAACAATGTGGTGAGCAAACAGTCTTAGTCGCCTCAAATGACATCGAATGCAGACATTCATCAGAGGAAGTTTATGCTCTTAATGCAATGGGATTTTTAAAGGTATAATGTTTTTCGAGCTCCTAACAAGAAACCAAACAATCAATTCTATTAGCAATTGGACATGTGTACCGTTAGCAATTGAACAGTTTGAACGAATCCATCATCCATAAACATCCAGAGCTCATTGATTGTAAAGGAGTTGTGCATCACAAGAACACAAGACCACACACAAGTTTGATTTTGGAACTTGGGGGACCAGCAGAGGATGTAATGGTTGTCTCTGGACTCTCACATGGCTGACTGTGGTTCAGATCCTGGACCCGGAGGTTTGAAACTCATGCCAGACGTGTGCACATGTGTGCCCAAAATCCCAAGAGGAGAATGGAGGAGAAGGGATTGTGGCATGGCCATCCTCTCTGGGGCAGGGTGGGGTGGGAGTGATGTGTTGCTTTCTGTCTCTCTGGCAAGTGCCTGTAGCAAAAAATCTCTCGAAAATTATTGAGTGGATATATTGCCACACCCACTGTACTCGCCCGACCTTGCATCATCAGACTTCCACTTGTTTTACTTTCTTCAAAACTCCTATATTCAAAGCAGATGGGGCTGTAAATCAGCACCTTGTTCAGTTTTTTGGTGATAAAGATAGGTCTTTCTACAAATGAGCCATTATGAAGCTCACTGAAAGGTAGCAAAAGGTTATTGGACAAAATGGGAAATATATCATTGATTGGTCTTTCTCCTTAATGTAAATAAATGACCTTCAAAAAACATTGGAAAAAATGTTTCCAACAACCCAAAATAAAATGACAGGGTGGGCCTAAATGACAGATGACAATCCCTCTATATCTAACGATAGATTACTCTATTATTCTTTGCACGTTTCCAAAGTTGAGCTGCTGCCGTAGCCATGGTGGGCTTCACACAATGAGATCCACCAACAAGGCCAGAACTGGATGACAGACACATCACTACACTCCAAACACCTGAGAAAATAACTCTTAACTGTGTGTCCTGTCCTTCTCCCTACCTCCAACTTAACGTAAGATTTAGCCTCACTGCCTCATTGCAATCGTGCATTCATTTATCATCTCCTTTACCCTCTTTTCAATTTGGTTGTCAGAGAAGTCATGATGCATTTTTGTATAGAAAAAAATACATCGTGACTTTTCCAACAACCCAGTATTTAGTTCATCTCTGCACTTTTTTACTTTGCCTTTTAAAATATCTATTATGATCATAAAAATAATAATTTTCATCTACAAGGTACTTGAAGAGTAGTGTCAGAAGAAAGGCTTTCAAGGGAAGATACTCAAGTAGAATTTTGAATACTGTATAAGAATTAAAGAAGAGAACATGGGTCTATATAGCATAATGGACAAACTGAGAGGCAACACTGTGACATAGGCAAGGAACATCATTTCTAATGGCAGGAGCTCAGGGATGGGTTAGTCAAGGTGGAGAACAGAGAAATGCGAAAGGAGAATGGAGGGTATGGAAAACAAGGCAAGAGACATAAACATGAATTAAATAATAGAGGGATTTATAGGCCATGCCCTCTCGTCTACTTCCCTGATATCAACTGTCATTAATAGTCTAATGACTCAAATTCAAATACCTAGCTCATGTCACATGCAGAGCCTAAGTGCATCTAGACAAGCACTGACTGGAGAGAGCCAACCAAATACTGTACAAACCTCTCAAACAGCTCATTCAACAGAACTGTATCTTCTCTAAGCTGACTCTTCCCCCAGAATTCCACTGGAAACCCAATTTCCCAGTCTGGAATTAGTAATAACATTTGAAACTTCCCACTCTCTTGGCTATGGTAGATTTTCAATAAACACTTTTTGAAATAAAGAATCGAATGAACTGTCATAAAGTGGTAGTATTTGAATAGTTTCTCCCTTGGAATACTTGCTTTAGTATTTTAGCCTTCTCCAATTAATGTGATTATTTACTAGTCTGAGCATATATTTTAATTTTACATGTCCAAATTCCAATAACTATTTTTAAGAAGAAAAATGTTATATGAAACCACTGTAGCTGGCCACTATTCTGAAATATTTTTAAATTACTTTGTTCCAGTATTATAAATGATACAGATCAACTTATTATTATATAATAAAGTGAAATAAAACATAGGACATGCAAGGATTAAATGTAAGTTTTTCAGTTATATTTAACTTTAACTTACAAGCTGAACTCCTTCCAAAATATTAATATTCTAATCGAAATTTTATATTAAACTAGAAATCTACTGCAACCATCTTCATTTGGCATTTGGCTGCCTTTGGAGACAACTGTCAGAAAAGCTTTCTCAGCCGTGAATTTAACACAATAAAATCTTTGATTAAGTTATAATACTAATGCTTTCTAAAGAAAAATGTAGCCAACACAGGAAAGGGAATTACATACTCTGCCTTGGTCACCTTTTATAAGAATTCTAAAAGAATGTTGTTGGAACCTCCAGATATGCAAGGAACCCTCCATACCTCTCTAAATGTGTGAGGGAGAAAATAGGGGGAAAAAACTAAGCCTTTAAAAACATAGCAGAAATAATTTCTCAACTTGTAATGAAAAGATTGTAGTGTTGCTTGACCCATGTATGAACATTATCCTAGTCGAATGTGGGAATATATTGTTAAAAAGTGAAAAATACATAGTTTCTAAAATGTACTTATTTGAATGCGCATCAGTGACAAAGTCTTGTGTTAATTCTTTTTTTTCTTTTCTTTTTTTGGAGAGGTTTTTGCTATAGGGCGCGTGCGCTCGCCAGAAAGACAGAGAGAGACAGAGAGACAGAAAGTGAGAAATCACCCCCCAGGGGGGATGGCCACACTGAAATCCCTTCTCCTCCATTCTCCTCTCGGGATCTTGGGCACACACCCTCACGCACCCTGCATAGTTTAAGCCACCAGGTCTGGAACTTGAACCTCGGTCAGCTCCATGGGAGTTCAGCGACATAGCCCGTTAAGCTGACTGCTGGTCCCAGTCTTGTGTTAATTCTATAAACAAATGTATTTACAGAGATAAAGTAAAGGATGAGTGCACTCGTCAAGGTAATTCTGACAAAATATTGACTTTCACTTAGATTTTCAAAAAATCAAAACAACTGATTCTGTATCATGACAGAATGAAATTTCACAAGTTCAGTGACTAACATTTAATACGTAAATCTTTAAATGTTGGACTACTTTCATAAAAATTTTGTCCAGATGTATCCCAACAAAAATTATTTGTTTCTTGATTACTCAAAAATCACCATTTTAGTTATCAATCAACTAATGCTACAAGAGTTGTATTTTAGGGTTATTGTGGTATTTAGGCCTATTTGGCTTTCTTTGTTGTTGTTGTTTTGTTTTTTTAATTTCCTTATTTTTTTACATTCAACCACCGTACATCTTTACGGCTTACAAAGCACATTTTCCCGCCATGAATACATTATCAAAACTACTACCATATACATTAAATTAAAGGACTTGAGAACGCTAAGTTTTTGTTCAAACTCATCTTTCCACTGCTGCTACTTTTTAGCAGTGTCATTATTTGAATCTATTTCTTTATCGTATATCTGTGCTTTATATCCAGTCCTAAATAGAGAGTCCTTTGCATTTTCCTCTACTATATCAATGGTAAAGAAAAAATTGATCCATAAACTTGCTTGTTTGTCTGTTTGATTTGGTTTCTTGGTGGCATTTCAGATATGTAGAGTCTTAAGGTAGACCAGAGAAAACACTAACTGGTGATATATAAGTTACTATGGAAAATGGGTGAAGAAAAAGCAAAATCATAACATGATAATGTAATTTCCTTTCATCAACAGATAGTAGCAATGAACAAGGACTATTTTTCACATACCTGGAATGTATTTGAGTTAGTCATTACATTCATTGGCATCATAGATGTAATATTTATTGAGGCAACCGCCATTAGTGATCATTTTGATATCACTCAAACAGTGATCTTTTTAAAAACTGTCCGAGTTCTTCGTGTACTACGCCTTTTGAAGGTAATGAACAAATAAATCATACAATTCAAGTCACAAAAGTCACATTTACTTGTTTTATAGCTACCACTTTCTGTTGGGATAATATTTATATTTAAAATTTAGCTTCTTTTGGCAAGTTAAGTTTTTTCTTTTATTTTTTTTTGTTGTTTGTTTTTTTAAAAGATTTTTGTTATAGGGAGCATGCACTCGCTGGGAAGACAAGAGAGATGGAAAGCGAGAAATCACCCCCAGGGAGATGGCCACGCCACAATCCCTTCTCCTCCATTCTCCTCTCGGGATCTTGGGCATGCATGCATCCACTCCCACCGTGAGTTTTAAGTTGCCAGGTCCAGGACTCAAACCATAGTCGACTCCATGGGAGTCCATCTGGTAATCATTACGCCATCTGCTGGTCCTAACAAGTTAAATTTTAAAACTTTTTTATTATGAAAATTCAAATGATATTAGATTTGTTTAGCACACAAAAATATTCATCATAACTTTTCCTTTGAATAGTGAGCACATGACAATGTCCATATTAATTTAAGTACAAGTTAACCTTGAAGTAAGGTTCCTCTTTATAGATACCCAGGGAATAAAAATAGAAATCAACAAAACAATCATGCAAACCATCATAGGGACAAGGCAAACAGCGTACATTTATACCAATCAAGAACAACAACAACAACAAAAACCTTTATGTTATGTAAATTTATGGTATTACATAAAAATATTATCAAAAACCACCTTTATTTAGTACATTTCTGTATGATTATTTTATTACAAAAAATTCACTCCATCACAAGACATACCTGTATATACAGGAATACAGAAATTTTGTCTCTCTCTGTCTTTGGCTGTATCTGCCCACAAACAAAACATGCACACATATAAGCACTATGGGAGACATAGAGCCAGATTAGACATAGCTCACCTAGAAATAAAGGTAACAGATTAGAATCTTACTTACACATGTTCTCTTCATATGATCTTACATTAGATCTTTCTTACAGATGTTTACAAATACTTCTGCTAATGAGAAAAATAAATCAACTAGGTCCAAAAATATGCAACCAGTAGCTTTCTCCTTTCTTTTACTATTCTATAGGACTGCAAATAATGCTAGTATACAATTTTACCTGAGGAAGACAAGACTAGTGTATTCCAATAACTAGTCCATTTTTCCTGACAGGAAGACAGGAAGATATACACAATCTACTGAAAAGTGTAGTGAATAAACTGATAAAATCACTTAAGTTTATTTATATATTGGGGAAACTCTGAATCCTTATATTGTGTCAATAAATAGCCCTTTGCATATGAAGACAAAGTAGACATACTTCTGGCCTTAGGGAGTTTATTTTAGAAGGTGATCAACAGGTTACCTGACTATTCCATGGTTAAATGGTCAGATAAGTGCAAAATGGGAGTATGTAGAGAATGCTAGTGGGCTGGAAAAGACTTCTTTTACTAGATGATACTTGAGCTCAATCATGAAGGGTGCATATTGAGGACTGGAGAATAGAAATAGAATATGGAGGCTGTGGAGTATAGATTGGAAAGCAAAGGGAACAGCCAACTCTGCTGAAGCTGGGAGACCACACACTGGTAATAGATAACTTGGGAGACTTGAAGGAGAGCAAAGAAGTAGAAGAGAAGCTAATTGTGTGGTCTAACAAGGATGTATTCATGGTGTGAGTTCTTATCCAAATGGGCCATCTAGTAGGAGATCTATGAAGTAAAAGTGGCCATACTTTATATTACAGACTGTCATCTTACGACCTAAACTCAGAAGAGTAATCACATTGTTTTCTAAGAATTTGAATCAGTTGAAAACAGCATCCAATTGTCTATGAAAGAAATAAGTAAGGACGAGTCAGAAACTTCACACCGGTGCCCAACATTATCAGTTAAAAGGAAATGGCTATAGTCATGAAGTTATAAAGACACCATAAACTAAGAATCTTGACAGGTTACTGTAGTTACCTTTGAGGACTTTTAATGTATTATTTTTATGTTTTTTGGTTAAACTAATTGACATGTTATCAAATAAAATTTGTACAGTTTATATTTAATGACAATTCTGGTTTTTATTTTCAGCTTGTAATACCTAAGTTGCTGCAAGTAGTTGATAGAAAGATGGGTCATCAGACATCCTTTAAATATGCAATATTTAAAGGATATTTCCAAGGTGAAGCAGACATAATGACTATAATTGATAAGATTGCAAGTTCTAAACAGATTAAACAGGTGAGAAACACTTAAGAAATAATACTTAAGAAAGAGTTCAATTGCCCTCGCCCATGATGCCCTCTGACTATATATGTGGACGTGCCCTTTGATGCTAGTTTGCTAATGAATTTCTGTAGAAACCTAAATGAGTTCATATTTAAATTACTTCTGTGCTCTTTACTGAAATGCTTGAGCCACATTAGCTGGTTAAGAGGCTCTTGGAAGGCACCTTTTTCCTCCTCATGGAGGTTATCATAACACATCTGTGTGTTATGGTCAGCTTCTTCCCAAGGAAAGCTCCAGGGTCTGTCAGGCTACAGATGCATTCAATAGAAAGTACTGGAAGGTAAGAAGTGACAGCAATGTGGAGCAAACAGAGCTTCCTTATGATTTATAATACCCAAAAGCTCCTTTCTTTCCTTTTTTTTCATTTTAGAGAGATTTTTGCTATAACGCGGATATCCTCACCAGAGAGACAGAAAGCAAGAAATCATCCCCCTAGAAGGGATGGTCACACAACAATCCCTTCTCTATTCTCTTCTTGGGATTTTGGGCGCACATGCACACGTACCCAGCATGAGTTTCAAGCCACGCGATCCAGGACTTGAGCGGCAGTCCAGCGATGTAACCAATACACCACCTGCTGGTCCCCAAAGTGTAGAGGCCAGCCATTGAGAGCAAACATGGTGACCTTTAAACAAATGCAGAGCTGAGGTTCCATGGGCAGTCATTCACAAAGTGATGAATGCCATTAACATATGAATACACTAGCTGCCTCTATGTCTCTGAAACTGTAAAGCAGTATCTAGTTAAAGGAAGCCACATGTGTTAATCAGAATTGGCCCCAGAAGATTAGACAAACTACATGGTGCCAGTTGTCTTCAGATCTTCAGCTGATTAACATCCAAAAACAACTGGCTTTGCATTCCACGTCCTCTTCCCCCATTTTCTGCCCTTTACAAGAATAAACCTGGGACCGGTGGTTGGGGGCCCTAGCTATCTCCATCAGAGAAGTCCAGACCACCCGATCTCCGATCTCCGCTTTTCTATACTCGTATGTCTTTGTGTGTTTATTTCTATGTTTATTCTCTAAGCCACCCACCCCCTCAGAGCACATGTTCATTTAGCCCTGTGGGACACAGTACTGAGGCTCCTTTCATGTCTCTCTTCTTACTTTTCCTATGGAACACAATAGAGGAAAGCAGTTGAGCTGAGAAATGAAAAGAAATAAAGGAAACTAATTCATCTGGAGTGAAACCTACCTGAATATACTCACTGCATAAATGAAAAGAAATGAGACTAAGGAAGGTTAAGTGATTGTGCTCAAAGACAGAGCTATAGTAAGCAGCAAAGACACAGTCCTGGGACCTAAATTCTAGATTTTATTTTTTATTTCCTCAATTAGGTGGATTAACAGTGATAGGTGCTCACAAGTTTGTTGGCTGTGTGGAATTCAGTATTTATCTTTCAAAGCAATTTAGGATCTTTAAATGCTATATTTAAATATTTCTTTTCCTTAAAAGCCATCTGTTTCCAGAGAGAGACAGCAGACAGCCAAACCCCCAACAGGGTCTTGTCACGCTACAATACTTTTTCCCCTTCATGCCCCACCACTCACCCGCCTGCCTTCAGTCAGGATCATGGGCCCAACCACAGGTGCACTTAGCATTTGGAGTGGCCTGGGAACCAGACCTGGGCTGTCCCCTGTGACTTTATCATCACGCAGGGGTACCCTTCTACCTGTGCCACAGAGGCTTGGCCCAAGTGCTACATTTTATGTGCCCAAAGCTTTGTTAGTTGAGAAAATTCCACATTCAATATGTGATAGAACCCAAAGAGTAGTATCTTTCTTCTATTCTTAACCTACAATGTTAAAACGATTTTCCTGAGTCTTATTACATTTATGGTCACAGATATTTAGCACAGAAACTCGAAGATACACGGAAGAAAATACAAAAGTACTTGGCTCTCTACAATGTCCAGTTTCAGTCTTCATTTCTGTTCTCACACATCTTTGCCAAACTTTCAACTTTCCTAAGATTGAAAGTTATCTCTGTGTCCCAAAGTTGGAGCTGAACAGAATTGCGCCTACCATCCTTGCATTTTCTGAATCAATACTATCCTAATGCAAGTACCTTAAGGAAAAATGTGTGATCTGCTTCAGGCTTCTCAAAAGAAGTTTAAGTAAGGCCACTACATATCTCCTGTATCATTTTTGTTGAAGCAAAGTATCCTTTAACTGCACAAAACTTAATTCTAACTCCTGAAAATTCATTATGCTTTTCTTTAAAGTCAGTAATTTAGGTTAAAAACTATCAGTTGCAAATGTAAAGACATTTTACAATGGTCCATTTTTTTTTCTAATTCTGTAGGTGTTATTAAAGCAAATATCAAGAAATATGGAATATGCTATCAAAGAGTTAAGTAAGTACCTCTTACCCTAAATATTCAGCATGACCTTCTCTTACCATCACTACTTCAAAAAGGCAGTGGTTTTCATAGCTAAGCTGATATTTGAGGAAACCTATTTACTACTACTAATAATAAAGTGGGTAACTTCAACAATCAACATGATTGTATTTTCTTGTAGATGGGAACAGCGTATTACTCTTTGCACACATTTGTTCTCTCTGCCTTATACAACAATGGAGACCTTTTACTTTCTGGTTTTCAGGGATTTTTTTGGTTTGCTTTTAGGTATATGCCATAGGATATGTGCACTCGCCAGAGAGACAGAGAGAGGGAAAGTGAGAAATCACCTCCCATGAAGAAATGGCTATGCTGCAGTTCCTTCTCCTTTCCCCTCCTGGGATTTTGGGTACACATGCACATGTTCCTAGCCTAATTTTCAGGCTCCCAGATCCAAGATTCAAACTAGAGAGTCAGCCATGTGGGATCCAGTGCCTTAACCACCACGACACCTACTGTCCCTTTAATTTCCATTTAAAGAATCCACATTAACATGCCGTGATTACAGGCATTGTGATAGCCTTATAAATTCTATTTTCCTCCAGGTCATAAATATAGGTACCTTTTGGAGTGACACTAGGAAAAAGGACACCTTTTATCTCCACTTGTCACAGAGCTGCCATCCAAAGATTTAGACCTTACGATGAGTTGAAATTAGAATAGTCTTGCAGATCTCTGTTAGGACTTCTGGGAGGCTCGTCATGGCAACAGCCTATTTTGAGTCATGCTACTGGTCTAGGACAAATCCTGGGAGTGCAAAACACATGCTCATAAACTTAATTTATGTGTGCAGAAAGATCCTGATACCCAGTGGTGTGTAGCAAAAATACACACTAAACCAGGAATCAGGACAGGCTTGAGAGCTCTTGTATGGCAAATTAAAGTCGTGTGTTGCTGAACAATGGGGATATAGTCTGAGAAATGTGTCATAGGTGATTTATTGTTGTGCGAATTTCATAGAGTGTACTTACATAAACCCGGATGGTATAGGCTGTGACACACCTAGGCCTATTACTCCTAGGTTATGAACCTGTATAGCAAGCTACTGTATTAAATACTGCAGGCAATTGTAGTATGAGGGTAGTATGCATTGGTGTATCTAGACTTATCAAAACATGAAAAGGTCTGGTAAAAATACTGTGCAGAAAGATTTTTAAAGTGGCATGTAGTGGAACCAGCAGATGATATAATGTTTACGTCACTGGACTTTCATGTAGTGGACTACGGTTCAAGTCCCAGACCTGGCAGCTTTAAACTCATGCTGAGCATGTGTGTGTGTGTGTGCCCAAAATCCTGAGAGGAAAATGGAGGAGAAGGGATTGCAGCGTGGCCATACCCCTGGGAGATGATTTCTCACTTTCTGTCTCTGTCTTTCTCCGGCAAGCACACACTCCCTATAACAAAAATCTCTCTCTCTAAAAAAATAGTAGCATGTATCATGAATAAAGCTTATAAGACTAAAAGTTGCTTTATGTGAGTCAGAAAGAGAGTGACAAGTGAATGTGAAGGCCTAGGGCATTACTGTACTCTACTACAGACTTTGTAAATACTATACCTTTAAGCTACACTAACTATATAAGCTATATTTTTTATTTCAATAATAAATTAACCTTGGCTCACTGTGACCTTTTTACTTTATAAACGTTTCCTTTTTTTTTTAACTTTTTGCCTCTTTTATAATAACTTTACAATAAACACATTGTACAAAAACACTTTTTCTTCATGTCCTTCTTCTATAAGTTTTCTTCTATTTCCACATTTTTAAATTTTTTTCTTTTACTTTTTAAACTTTTTGTTAAAAATGAAGGAACAAACATGCACATTAGCCTGAGCTTACTCAGGGTCAGGATTATCAGCATCACTGTCTTCCACCTCCACATCCTGTCCCATTGGGTGGGCCACGAGATATGATAAACACAAGGTCTATGGGACAGTTACTGGTGTCACATGGCATGCTATTTTATAGTAAACTTTTTTTATAGGTAGCAAGTGTACATGCTAAAGTAATAATAAAAAGTACAGCATAGGAAATGCATAAGCAAGTAAGTCATATATGTAGCATACATAATCGTATGTACTAAACTGTTTAGGACTGGCAGCACGATAAGTTTCTTTGTGCCAGAACCACCATGAGCATATGAATAACGTATTAGACTATCACATCACTATGGCTACTGTGTCCCTAGGTGATAGAAATTTCCTTCTAGGACCTACCGCTATGGACAGTGTCAGTCTTTGACATGTTATACGGTACATGGCAGTAGTTACCAAGCCAGATAAAAGGTCATAAGCAAGCAGAAGCCTTAAAATGGATGAAACTTTTATGGGCCTCCAAGAATCCAGATGAAACGGGCATAAAAGCATAGACAGAGGAGTCATGTGAATACACTGGTAGAATGAATGGGTGATGACCCACGATGGAGAGGCCTTAATCAGAAGCCACAGCTGAGCACAAGTCTGCAGTCAATAATCCTGATTTAAACATAATCGGTCAGAAACTCAAGACCTAGCCCCCCATGTGGCCTCTCACATGTCCAGGGTAGTTGGATCTGTTTGACTGTTAACCAGAGGACCGGTTTCTGCATGGGCCAACACAGAAGTATGAGTGCTGCCAAGAAAATGGCAGGCAGAAGTCTGGAGCTGCTGCTGAATAAACGGCTATTACCGTGTCTCTGTCAGGGAGAGATACGTTTCCTGGCGTAGAGGGCTGTCCTCTATGGGTTTAAAGCAGAAATAATAGCTTATATGATCTGCATGGAAGTTAAAACAATGTGCTTATTTCAACGGAAAACATTTTGCATTTCCCAGGCTACTTAGAGTATGATAATCCAGAAATTGCTGTCACGATGAAAACAAAGGAGGAGACTAATGTTATGCTCAACACGGCTAGAGAAATTACCAAGGTGTTCAAGTCAAAAGGAGCTATTCATAAGATGGAAAGTTTCGAAATTAACAAGGTACTGTAGAATATTTTCACAGCAAACATACTCACTTGATAAATAGTCGCGCATGATCTTCAAGTCCATTTTTGGCTCTGTCCAGTAGAGGCCATTCCTGAGATATAAAAATCTCAAGTAAAAATAATTGGCTAAAGACAAGTACCCACCACAGGAAGCAGCCTTCCTGCAGCACCAGTGGTCAACATTTCTTTCATTTTTTTGTTTTTGTTTTTTTTTTTTTTTGGCTCTAGTGAGGGACCACCTCTTTCTCTGCTCTGCTCACAAACCAAGGGTCTAATGAATTTGTCTCTCACGCTAGGCTAGAGTGGGTATTAATCTGTCCTTGAGAATTACCTCTGACTCTGAAGTAACACTTCCCAGATAAACTATAATTTGTGAGAATGTCCAATTGCAGAGTTAAGATTAAGTGTATTTTCTTTCTCTAAGTTGCTAAAATGGTACTGTTACCTATAAAAACACAGAAAGTTTCCCAACTTATAAGTACAAATCTGACAGCAAAATTGGGAATAGTAGAAGGGGGAAAAAAGCTATTATCTTTATTATTACCTATTCAAAACATACTAGCATAATAATAATAAACTGAATGTGGCCTTATAATAAACATATAATGAACTTTGTCTAAGTAGGCTTTTATGTTCTGAAATAGTTATGTAACTCTCATATTTAGAGATAAAGATAAAAAACAGCTGATCACATTCTGTCCTCATTCAGAATGTTCAAAATACCTTTAGCAATCAAATATGAAAGGACTAGCCCTAACTTGACAAAAGTATCTTTAAAATCAGAAGCAAGCATAGTGTTAGATATCAAAATATTAAGAGGCACTCCCCATTAAAGTCAGGAACAAAAGAATGACAAGTGTCATTTCAGGTTTTGAGTGCACTAGATATTGAAATGTTATTTCATTGTTACAGATCAGGAGGTCTTAGCCAGATCAAGAAGGAAATGAAGGAACTAGAGAGATGGAAAGCTTGAAAAAAAAAGGAGGAAAACACTATAATTTTTAATTGTTTAATTAACAATCGCAGGTAATTAGCTTAAAAACTGGAAGGTTAATAAGATAATTCATAGGTTGTCCAGAAATAAGGAAATATTCTATTCACAATTGCAATTAAAAAGTCTAAATCCTTAAGAACCTAACATAAATATAAAACGCCCATTTGGTGAGAACTGAAAAGCCCTGTTGAATACACGTTTCTATAGAGCAGGTGTTGGCAATTTTTTTCTTTAAATTTGCAAGAGAAAGTGTTCCCCTTGAGGGGGTGGTCCCTCCACAATTCCTTCTCCTTCGTTTCTTCTTACTTTCAGGATTTAGGGCATACACGCACATGTGTCTAGCATGTGTCTCAAACACTGGGTCCAATACTCGAACCGCATAGTCAGCCATGTGGATCCCATGCCTCAACCACACAGTGGGCAAGAAAGCAAGAAGGCATTATAAAGGGCAGCATGGTAAATATTTTATGTCTGGGCCACGTGGTTCCTGTCACCACTACTCGGTTCTGCAATTGTAGCACCAGAACAACTATAGACAACATGCGAATGAACAAGAAAACAATGTGATTTTTAAAAAAAAATGGGGACGAGCAGGTGGCATGGTGGTTAAGGTGCTGGATACTCCCACATGGCTGACCATGGTTCAAGTCCTGGACCTGGGGGCTTGCTTTCTCGCTTTCCCTCTCTCTATCTGTGTGTGTGTGTGTGTGTGTTTGTTTGTGTGTGTGTGTGTGTGTGTGTGTGTGTGTGTCTGCTTAAATTAAAAGACATGAATGAATAAATGAAATAATTATTTTTAAAAAAAGCTGTTTAAAAAATCAGATATTTTAGCAGAAGTTGGTCTTCAGGTAGCAGTATGAAACTCATGCTTTAAAGAATCAATTTTTATTTATTTATTTATTTATTTATTTATTTATTTTGCCATAGGGCACATGTGCTCGCTGGAGAGAGAGAGCAAGGGGGAGAGAGAGAGAGAGAGATAAGGAGAAAGAAATAAATCATCCCCCAGGGGGATGACCATGCCATAATCCCTTCTCCCATTCTCCTCTTGGGATTTTGGGCATGTACGCACATGCACCCAGCATAACTGGGACTCAAATCATGTTGGTCATGTGGGAGTCCAGTTCCTTAACCACTATGACACCTGCTGACCCCAGAATCAATATTTTAAGATGGGAGTCACCCATAAAATAATCAGTTGATTTAACGAACATTAATCAAAATTCGACCCACTTTCAGGGAGCTTAACAAGTATACTTTACTTGTACAGTTTACTGCTCAGAAATTATTATTTTAAGGATAGTGAGGATTGTAGGAAGATGGCAGAGTAAGAAGCTCCAGAAATGTGTCTCTCCATCTAGACAGAATTAAACAAAAACAATATTAAGATTGAAAGCAACTCTTTATTAACAATTAAAAGAAAGAAAAACAATCTACAAAGAGACATGTATATTTGCAAGATCAATCTATCTAGTGAATAGTTTATATCCAGAATAAAAACAAAGCTTCTATAAATCAATAAGAATAAGACATAAAGCCTATCTCTTTAAAGTGAACAAAATATCTTCAATAGGTACTTTACGGAAGAGGATATTCAAATGGCCAATAACCACTTAAAAAAATCACCAAATACCATTTTCACAAGCTTATATCGAATTAAAATCAAAATGAAATACCAATCACAATTACCAGAATAGCTATGTGTTTTTTAAAAGTGAAAATACCAGCCTAGTCGTAGTGGCACGTGCTGCATGATGCTGTACTCTGCAAGCCAGAAACACTGGGTTCAGTTCCTGTCCATCCAGAAGACTGTGTGTGGGGGCACGTGTCTACTATCTCATGACTCAGGAAGCTGAGGTAGGAGAACTGAGAGCTTGAGACCGGTCTGGGCAACACAGCATGGTCATGGTGGCATAGACCTGTGGACACAGCTGAGAGGCTGGTGGGGGAGGATCACAATAGTGACACCCTCTTAAAGAACAAAAACAATCCAAATGGCAATACCAAGGGTAAACACTGATATGGAACACTGGACCATCAGAGTAGGAGACAAAGTGATAGAACCACTTTGGAAAATTATTTGGCAGGATCTGCTAAAGTTGAACATAAATGTATTTTATGACCTAATGGTTATGTTAAATAACCATAGTTCCAACAGAAATGTGGTCATAGGCACGCCAAGCAAATATTCATAGCAGCGTTATTCAGAAACACCTCAAACCAGAGAAACCCAAAAGTCACTCAACGGTGATGAATCTACATAGCAATGAAAAGAAAATTAATGTGTTTTTGCTCTCTGCAACACCATAGATGGCTCTCAGAAACATAATGTTGAACAAATGAAAGTAGGAACAAAAAAATGCATAATCTCTGACTGCATGCATAGAAATGTCAAAACCAGGAAAAGCTACATTATGGTCATACAAAAATAGTGCTCGCCTTTGGATAGGAGTACTGATTATAAGAGACTGGAAGGGAGGACCCTAAGGTGCATCAAACATTTTATTTATTAATCTGGGTGCTGGTTTCACAGGTGTTTATGATCTCTCTCTCTCTCTCTCTCTTTTTGCATATCTGCTATACTTCAGTAAAAATGTTACTTTGAAAAGTTTAAACCACGTCTTCAAAATAATGATCATAAAGGGGCCAGACATAGTGCAGCAGTAAAATGCCGTGCTCAGAAAAGCTGACCCACATTGGAAGGTCCCAGGTTTGCATCTCCCCGAGTATGCCGGGCATGCTCATGCCTATGATCTGAGGCTAAATGAAGCTAGGAGTTGGTCACAGCACTGAGACCTTATTAAGAGTTCTGTCTCAAGACCAGCAGATGGTGTAATGGTACATCGCTGGACTCTCACATGACCGACCACAGTTCAAGTCCCAGACTTGGTGACTTGAAACATGCAAATGTGCGTGCAGGCCCAAAATTCCAAGAGGGGAATGGAGAAGAAGGGATTACAGCATGGTCATCCCCCTGGAGGGTGATTTCTCATTTTCTGTTTGTCTCTCTCTCTCTCTCTCTCTGGCAAGCACATGCTCCACATGGCAAAAATCTCTCTCAAAAAAGAAAGTTCTCTTTGGTTCTCCCTCATTAAAGAAAGAAACAATCTTTAAAAATGATATTCATGGGACCAACAGGTGGTGTAGTGGTTGAGGTGCTAGATTCCCACATGGCTGATTACGGTTCAAGTCCTGGACCCAGAGGCTTAAAAATCACACCAGGTGTGTGTGCTTGTGTGCCCAACATCCTGAGAGGAGAATGGAGGGGAAGGGATTGTGGCATGGCCAACCCTCCAGGGGTGATTTCGCACTTTCCCTCTCTCGGTCTCTATCTCTCTCTGTCCCCAGTTAGCACATGTGCCCTAAGGAAAAAAAAAAAAAAAAGAGAAATTTTGTTTCAATCATCATCATCCTGAAAGAGGTAGAAAATACTATAAGAGGTTGAAGGTTTCCATGGAAGACAAAAATCTTAGAAGATAAAGAATAGGAACTGGTATTGCAAAAAGACATAGTTCTTAAACATTCTGTGAACTTGTTCATCCCCTTTCTTACATTTTGTGGTTTTAGTTAATTATGGCCAGAAAAAGAGAGGTGCTTGATTTTCAATCTCTCATGAAGCCTCTTACTGCTGAAGAAACACTGCATCACATTCCATGGCTGGATAAAGACAGAGATCGTATAAGCACCATTCAGGTAGCATTTCTTTTCTCATTAATACAATTTCCAGTGTGCCATCAAATGACCTTTTAAAAAAAATTAAAGATTTAACCAGGAGATTTTATTCTCTTGTTAAAAAGCTTCCAAATGTTTCGCATTGCCTATATGATAAAATGAAAATCCCTCTGAATAACACAACATCCTTCCACAGTTTGCCTCCTGCCCCGCCCACCTCCGCACCTCATTTCCTGCCACCTGCCTGTCATACACATTTCTGTGCTCTGTCGATACTGAACCACGAGTGTCCCACACATTCTACACTGTTTCCTGATTCCATTCATCAGTGGATCCTATTTCCTTCTTTGGAAATGCCATTGCTTTCACCTTTCCAAAAAATCTTTCAGAGAACTAGACTTTGGGGTCAAACGCCCCACCAGTACAAGACTATCCCGTAGCCTGTCCTGACTCTGGAGAGCTGAAGGTGCCAACATTGTATTGATTATAGGCCCTCATCACAACGATAAGGATGTACACTAAGTTAGCTCTACATCGCTTGCCTTTACTGTGGTTTCTTAGCTCATCCACTTTCCTTGAGTACCCAGCCCCTAACACTTTACATAAGACAGAGTGGGTACGCAGTGAGTGTGGGATCAATAATAAATAGGTCTAATGTGTTTTAATATCCTTTTTCTATAGCTATTTGATGCCAGAACACCAAATTATATTTTTTCCACTTGCTTGAAATATTTATTTTTTTATTCCAGCTGTTTAAGACATGAGTATATATGAAACACACATGACACTAATGAGCCTACATCTGTCCCACATCTTATCCAAATGGCACATTTTTACCCCCTCATTGCACTGTTATCCACAGATTCTTTTTCCTAGTCCAGTTAGAAACATGGCATCTGAGGCCAGTCATCGTAGCACACCATAATGCATGCTGCACAATGCTGAAGCCATATGGCAGGGTCCGAGTTCATGTCCTGAGGTATTCCTGAGCTTGCCAGTGCACGCCTGCAACCACGCCTATGATTCTGACCAGCTGAGGCTGGGGGTGGATTGTGGTGTGAAGATGCTGTTGGAGCTGTCTCTCTCTCCCTGCCTCACTATCTCTGTCTTATGAAAGCAATAAACAAACTTAAAAAATATGCTCTACATGGTCAGCAGGTGGCATGGTGGTTAAGGGCACTGGACTCCCACATGGCTGATAACAGTTCTAGTCCCGGACCTGGCAGCTTGCTTTCTCACTTTCTCTCTCTTGTTCTTCTTCTCTGTATCATTCTGTCCCTCTCTGGTCAAATTAAAATAAATAAGTAAGTAAATAAATGAATAAAAAGTTAAATAAAATTATATATATACACACACACACACACATACTCTACCTGAAATTACATATGTCCACAAATATCTACTTTCTTCTCTTTGCTACTTATAATTCCTGTTTTCTCTTATATGTTTATTATTAATATAATATCCTAGATTTTATTGGGTGATATTTATTTTTAAAATGTAATTATTTTTTTATTAAAATGTAAACTTTTTACATTTCTAACTACTGCCAAAAATATTTTCTATAGTTTATTTATTTGGTGATTTTTTTTTTTTTTTAGAAAAGAGTCAAAATTATAGCATATGATTGTGGAAATGAAATATTTGAGGAAGGTGATGAGGCCAGAGGAATCTATATAATTATTTCAGGCATGGTAGAGGCAAGACCTATTTTTTAATAAGTGAACTTGTGAGCATTAATTCTTTTAAGAAAATCTATAAACGTCATAGGTAATAGCTCTCCATATTAAGAACTGCATAGTTCCTTCTTTAGGATAGCATCTACCACACGAATAGCAATTTTCATATTCAGATGTAATGGGTAACAACACCTACTGCCTTTTTTTAAAAAAATTATTTTATTTAACTTTATTTATTTATTTGTTTGTTTAATTTGACCAGAGTGACAGAATGAGAGAAAGAGAGAGAGAGGGAAAGTGAGAAAGCAAGCTGCTAGGTCTGGGACTCGAAATGCAGTCGGCCATGTCGGAATCCAGAGCCCTTAACCACCATGCTACCTGCTGGCCCCCACCACTGCCTTTTAAGCCATAATTTCTCATAGGCAACAATAAACCATAAAAAATTATCCTTTAACATGAAAAATTGTAATATAACTGTTATTCATTTTTATATTTATCTGCGTTGGAGATTAAGCCATTCTAGAATAGACAAAGGTTGACCAAGTAGGAGGAATCAGAGAGTATTTAAGAATGCCAAGTGTCTGTGTCATTACTGATGTAACAAATTTACTTACAACAAAATGAGTAATAAGTATTCTTAAAACAGTATGTACGAGCCAGCAGTTGGTGTGGTGGTTAAGGTGCTGGACTCCCACATGGTGGACCATTGTTCAAGTTCCAGACCTAGTGGCTTGAAAATAATTCTGGACACATGTGAATGTGTGCCCAAAACACTGAGAAGAAAACGGAGGAGAAGGGATTGTGGCATGGCCATCCCACTACCTCCCCCCCTCAAGAGGTGATCTGTTGCTTTCTCTCTGTCTCTCTCTGGTGAGCACACATGCCCTATGGCAAACAAAACAAAAAACAAAAATAAAACAAAACAAAAACAAACCTAAACCCCCAAAAAACAAAAAAAAATAGGTTATACCTCAGATATGTAAAAAAAGGTTACACTAGGGTATGTATATATTAAAATTGTTAAGACAAAAGTAGGAAACGTCATAAATTAGTTGTGATAATGCAAAGTAACTAGCATATATATTTTTCTTTTTCTTTGTCCTTGAACAGCTTGAAAGTTCAAAGCCAGTTTTGGGGATTGACCCATTATTCTCCATATCAGAGGAAAAAGATCATCAAATAATCTACATAGACTATGTGCTCAGCGGGGAAATAATAGGAGAGTTAAACTGCTTACTCGACGAACCCATGCAGTATTCTGCCATCTGCAAAACTGTAGCAGAGGTCAGAAAACATGCCTCTCCTTACTGTTGTATTGTGTTAAATATCTAATATTAAATTTAAGGTCATTTCAGTATTTAGTGTATGTTTGCAGTTTAGTGTCAATTTTTTAATAGAAATGTTAAAGGAACAAAACTTGTTACAGAATTACAATGTATAATGTCCTGGCGAAATGGCTTGTGAAAGTTAACCTACCATAATGAAAAAATAAGTTAACCAGAAAACTAGTTGTACAAGCTCTTTCATGGAGAAATCGGATGGGATATATTAACTATCAGTACCACCATTTGGAGAATACGGGAGAAGGAAAAGTCAGAGCTAAAAGTTATTAATAATAAGTTGAGCAATGTGGATGAAAGTTTTCTTCAATAGGATTAAGGACAAAATTCTCAAAATACAGAGGACTCCCTCTGGCCTAATTTGAACTGAGAAGGAATAATGGTTGTAAATAATTAAGCCCCACAAATATGTAAATATTTATACGTGGACGATGACACCAAATGTTTTAAACAAGGTTGCTAGGATATCATCTTATTACTCTGAAAATGGACTTTTTTACAAAACAGTGTATGATTAAACATTTTTCTGGATGTCCATCATGAACTCTTTCAATGTAACAACAACAACAACAAAAATAGAAAAAAAAATCTTCTCCATAGAAGAGTTGCAGCTAATAGAGAATGAGAGTCATAAACATCTACATGTTGCCCTGAGATAATGGATTTAGGCAATAAACTATCAATTGACGTTAAAACTGCAAGTGTAATGTGAATGGAAAACGGAAGGAAAATACAACTTAAGAACACTGCTCAAATCTCGGCACCATTAAAGGTGGGACAGCCAGGTATTATGTACCTGACAATGTTATGAACCAAAAGTACTAGCACCTCCCATCACATATCAGTCAATAAAACTGAAAACCTCAAGCTGCTAAAGCCTCCAGATTGAACCAGTTTACAGAAGGAGAGGAAAAAGTTCATTGCAGTAGGAGGGACTAATTAGCTAAATGTACAATGTGGCCGTTAAGTGCAGGACAAGTAACCTGATTTCTTCAACAAACCAAGAGCATAAAAAGGGGAAAGAGAGGCCAGCAGGTAGTGTGGTGGGTAAGGTGCTGGGTTCCCACATGACTGACCGCAGTTTGAGGCCTGGACCCAGTGGCTTGAAACTCATACCAGGCACATGTGCATGAGTGCCCAGAGTCCTAAGAGGAGAATGGAGGAGAAGGGATTGCAGTGTGGCCATCCTCTGTTGGGAGTGATTTCTCACTTTCCCTCTCTCTGTCTCTGTCTCTCTCTGGCTAGATATGTGCCCTATGGAAAAACCATTTTTTTTTAGAGGTTTTTGCTATAGGGTGGCACGTGCTCACCAAGCAGACAGAGAGAGACAGAGATAGAAAGCGAGAAATCACCCCCCAGGGGGGAAGGCCATGCCTCTATCCCTTCTCCTCCATTCTCCTCTCGAGATCTTGGGCATGCACACACACGCACCCGGCGTGAGTTTTAAGCCACAGGGTCTGGGATGTGAACCGCGATCGACTATGTGGGAGTCCAGTGACATAGCCATTACGCTAACTGCTGGTTCTGGCAAAACCATTTAAAAAAAAAAAAAAGAAGACAACAAGGAAAAATTATTTAAAATGGACTTAAGAAATATAATAACCAAATATAATTGTTCTAATTCCAAACCATGTTTGTAACAATGTGGGGAATTTTAATATGCAGAGAATATTAAGTGGTATTAAGATGATATTTTTTATTCTGTTAAGTATAATAATCATATCTGTCTTGATATGTCTAATTAATTTAATGAGAATGAGAGACAGACGTAGAGACTAACATTTTTCTCTTCTCTTTTTTTTTACTTTATACATTCAATTACTATACACCGCCACAGCTTGTAAAATGCATTTTCCCAGCATAAATACTCTACATGCCAGTTCAGTTAAAGAGATTATCATGCACACTCTCATCAACAGACAAACCTCCATCCTGTGTCCCTTAAATGTAGAGAGACAAGAGTCTTCAACAGGTTTTTCCCATTGCAAAGTTCAGCCTTCCCAGCCAGTCAGGATGATGGTCCACACCCCTGGTGTTTAAGGCCTACTGGGGAGTTAAATCCATGATCTTCCAGAAGGATCCAGCATTGTCTGAACACATGTTACCCCTACACCACTGAGCCAGCCCAAACTCCGTTTTCTGTAGAAATTTACAAGCTGCTTAGAAAAGGTATATGGAACTGCATAAGACCTCCTCGTATAATAGACAAAGCAAATTCGATAAAGAATAACCTTGGAATGGATATACTATTGTGTTAAAACAAGATAGAAAAGCTGCCAGATTCTTGGGCAAGTGGTTGGCTGTTCAAAATCCTTGCAAGATGCTGATGCTCAAGCTGTTGACATGCTCATTGCATACTTTAACAACAGAGAAACAGTGATAAGGGTAGGGAGGTGCTTTTTACAAATCATTCATAGACTTCTATAAAATGAAAGATAAGTTAAAATTGTTATAACAGTGAGGGAAAAAAAGAATAATTTTAGATGATTTACCCTACCTGATTCAAAGCTTATGGATCTAGGGGCTGGCAAGTAGTGTGGTAGTTAAAAGTGCTAGACTTCCACATCGCCAACCATGGTTTGAGTCCTGGACAGAGCAGCTTGCTTTCTCACTTTCTCTCTCTCTCTCCTTCTCTCTCTCTCTCCTTTCTCTTGCTCTGTCCCTCTCTGGTCAGATTAAAAGAAATTAATAAAATAAATAAAGTTCAGTAAAATAATTCTTTAAAAAAAGATTTATAGATCTATATTAACTAAAACCATATGGTGTTGACTTTAAGTTAAAACATATACATGAACACACACTAAAAATGCAGAAGTAGATCCACATATAAATAATCAATTATTTTTTCTTTTTTCCTTTTTTATTTTTTGGAGAGGTTTTTGCTATAGGGCGCGTGCGTTCGCCACACAGACAGAGAGACAGAGAGACAGAAAGCGAGAAATCATCCCCCAGGGGGGATGGCCACACCACAATCCCTTCTCCTCCATTCTCCTCTCGGGATCTTGGGCACGCACGCACACGCGTCCGGCGTCAGTTTAATTCACTGAGTCCGGGACTCGAACCGTGGTTGACTACGTGGGAGTCCAGTGACATAGCCATTATGCTAACTGCTGGTCCCAATTAATTAATTTTTGACAAAGAGTCTATTTCTGTGAAAAAAAAAAAAAAAACAATTAGAATGTCTAACAAATGATCCTGAAAGCTCTAAACATCCATATGGAAGCAATGAACTTTGATCTTGTACACTAACCACCAAAAAATAAATTGGACTGATGATAAACCTAACATAGAGATGGAACTATAAAAACTCCAAAAGAAAACATAAAAAGATCTTGAAATAGACAAATATTTCTCATTTAGGATCAAAAAAGTATTAACCAGAAAAGGACATGTTGATAAATTGGATGTTACCATAATTAAAATCTTTTGCTCTCCAAGAAACACCATGAAGAATGCAGAAAGAAAGAAAAGAAGAAAGAAAGGAAGAAAGAAAGAAAGAAAGAAAGAAAGAAAGAAAGAAAGAAAGAAAGAAAGAAAGAAAGAAAGAAAAGAAAGAAAGAAAGAAAGAGAAAAAGAAAAGCAATCCACAGGACAGGGGAGCTTTTTGATCACCATTATCTAACAAAAAACTTGACATAGAACTCTATAAAGAATTCTTATCACTCGAACTAGCAAATTAAAATTGGGCAAAGGATTTGAACAGACACTTCACTAAGAATACATAAAAAGTCAGTAAGCACATGCATAATATGCTCATGATCGCTGTCAGGAAAATGCAGAATAATTCCACAATGATGTCACTATGTATCTACTACATTAGATGAAAGTTTTAAAAACTGACAACTGGGACCAGCTGGTGGTGTGGTGGTTAAGGTGCTGGACTCCCATATGGCTGACTATAGTTCAAGTCCCAGACCTAGCAGTTTGCTTTCTTACTTTCCCTTTCTCTCTTATCAAATTAAAAAATAATAACAATAATAATAACAGATGGATCTAAATAAAATAAATAATTCTTTAAAAAAACCTAACAACTAAGTATTGTCAAGGCTCAAGGATATGAAACAATGAAATTCTTACATATGGCTAGTGGGAGTGTAAAATGTCATAACTACTTCTGAAAGTAACTTGGCAGTTTTTTTATAAAATCAAATATACACTTACTATATTACCCAGCGGTCACTCATTGATACTTACCCAAGAAAATAAAACCCAACATATCCAAAGCAGGTCTATTATTATAATAGTTATTATAATAGTAATTATAACTCTTATAATAGCTTACGCTACACAAGCCAGACTATGAAAGAGAGACATTGTATGTCTCCACTTAATATATACCAACTGTCCACACTCTGGCCCAAACTGAATGACTAAAAGACATAGAAACATCGTAAATGGATGTGAATAGCAGATACAGTATGGGAAGAAGGAGGGTGAAGGAGTAGAGTCTGAGGAAGGACATTAAAGAGAAAAATAGAGAAGCGAGGCATTTATGGGACAAAGAAATGGGTTATTATCTGTTGAGGGATAACCTTATAGTATTGTCAACTGGACCAGTGCGAAATGTACACATGTTGGAATTTTCACTTTGCACGCTAAGTAACATTGAATGTATAAAATAAATTGAAATAATAATAATACATTTTTTAAAATACCTTATGCTACAATATTGTTGACTAAAAAGTTTGCTCCTCTCAAGTAATATATTTTTAGAAATACATCTTTATTTAAAAAGTTTAATTTTTGGTTAATGTCCAAAATATGCAAGGAACTCAAATTCAATAGCAAGTAAAAAAAACAAAAACAAAAAAAACCACAATAATCCAATTAAAAAATAGGAAAAATGATCCAGCTGCAATGGTGTGTTGCTAAAACACTGTACTCCACAGGCTGGGACCACCTGAAAAGCCTAGGTGTGATCCCCAGTTCAAACTAAAGTGAGGGCTTGGTGCTGCGTGCCTGTAACTCCAGCGACTCCAGAAGCTGAGGCAGAAGGACCATGACACTATAAGACCTCTGTGTGTGTGTGTGTTTAAAAAGGACAAAAGCCCTGAATATGTAATTCTCAAAAGAAGACACACAAATGGCTAATAGGTATACAAAAGAATTCTCAGTATCTCTAATCACCATGGAAATGCCAATGAAACCACTAGTAATATTACTTCACACCTGTACCAATGGCTGTTATCAAAAAGACACAAAATGACAAGTGTTGGTGAGGATGTGGGGGGAAAATAACCCTTATACACTATTGGTGAGACTGTAGGACATCCATTATAGAAGCAATATGGTAGTTTGTTACAAAATTAAAAATAGAGCTAGGGCCAGCAGTTGGCGTAGTCGGCTGCGGTTTGAGTCCCAGACCCCGTGGCTTAAACTCATGCCAGGCACATGTGCATGCGTGCCCAAGATCCCGAGAGGAGAATGGAGGAGAAGGGATTGCAGCGTGGCCATATCCCCGGGGGGTGATTTCTTGCTTTCTTTCTCTCTGTCTCTCTCTGTCTTTCTGGTGAGCGCACGCGCCCCATAACAACAACAACAAAAAAAAAAAACCTCTCTAAAAATAGAGCCATCATAAGGTCCAGCAGTTTGCTTCTGGGTATTTACCCAAAGGAGCTGAAATCAGCACATCAGAGGTATCTGCACTCCTATGTTCACGGCAGCATTTTTCACAATAGTCAATACACGGAACCCCCTCCATGTCCATCAGTGGAGAAATGGATAAAGAAAATATATTATATACACACAATGGAATATTACTCAGCCTTTAAAGAGAAGGAAATGTTGTCATTTGCAATGGACAAAGAGGGGCCTGGAGGACATTATACTAAGTGAGTAAGTCAGGCATAGAAAAAATAAAAGTAAGATTTCATTTATATATGAAATTTTAAGAGTCAGTCATAAAAACAAAGCAGAAGGATAGTTCCCAGGAGATTAGTAGAAAGGGATAAGTGGGAAGAGAGGAAATGCTCAAAGCATAAAACGCTCCCATTAGACCAGATGAATATTTTAGTGGTCTATTGCATTGCATAGTGAGAACAGTTAATGATATTGTATTGTAGCGCTTATTTCAGAACTGGTACAGGAATAGATTTATAACATCGTCATAAAAAATAAATTGGTTAAGTGATTACTATGTTAATTATCTTGCTTAATGCCTCGTACAACATATACTTAGATCAAAACATTGGGGCCACCAGGTAGCAGAGTGGGTAACCAACCATGTGGCCAACCATGGTTCAAGTTCCACACCTGGCAGCTGAAACTCTTTTTGGTACATGGGCATGCATGCCCCAGATGCCAAGAGGACAGAAGAGAAGGGATTGCGCATGGCCAACTCCCTGGGACGGGGCGGGGGGGCAGTGATTTCTCACTTTCCGTCTCTCTGTCTCTCTCTGGCGAGTGGATGAGCCCTATAACAAAAACTCTAAAAAAAATCACCTTGTACTACAAAAATAATTTCTCATTGCATCACATGGCCTTTTAAAGTATTTAAAGTATATAACTAATACTTACCAGTATACACATTTTATCAGGTTTCTAGAGCATAACATGAATCAGACATAATTTAAATTCATATCTTTAATGTTATATGTAAATGAGAAAACCTTATTCCTTAAACCATAGGTGAACACAATGAAGTATTAAATTTATGTCCTCCTTTTTCTAGGCATGTTTTATTCCTAAAGATCACTTGTATTATGCTTTTGAGCAATTCTATCCTGTCATTGAACAAAAAATGTGGCTAAAACTTGGACTTGCTATTTCTGCCAACAAAATCAGAGAACATTTGTCTTATGAGGTAAAAAGTCTAAACTCATCTTTCTCTCTGAATGGAATTTCATTCAAATACTGTTAAATTTGAATGTATAAATTTATAGTAAACTTTATAAACAAAGAACAGACTACAAAATTGTATTTGTTTTATAGGATTGGAACTACAAAATGCAAATGAAGCTCTCCAATCTTTATATAAAAGATATACCACTGAACACCAAAACTAACATCTATAATGAGAACGTAATGTATGTTATCCTCATACATGGGGCTGCGGAAGACTGTCATTTACAAAGAACTTATAAAGCACCTTGTTTAATTCCTAAAACGTGCCATCAGGTAAAGAAATATTGATTGAGGTTTTCAGGTCAATATGCTTCATGTCCAACAATGTATCAACATCAGCAAATTTATCACTATAATCTTGAGTTTTTCATCTTCTTGTTTCCCCCTTTTCTCACCATTCCATCAATACCTACCCACACCCACCCGCATATACAGTCAGGAACACTGAGTTCATGGATTGCTTTGGCATTCAGTAGCCCAAGCACAAACTATTCTCACTTAACACCAGTGAAGTAGGCCACGCTGTACATTTTGGCTTAGTTAGATTTTGCTGCAGTTGTACATAGCAGAGTTTAATTTTATTCACACATTGCAGAAAGACCATATTAACAGCACTCAAGGAAGTTTCTATTAGATGCTGAATTGAAAAGAGGGGGGTATTACTTCAACTACTTTGAGAGGGAAGTAAAAGGGAATGTCTATTCATATTTAAATTGTTCATTGAGCTCTCCTGTCAGTCAGAATGAAAAGCTGAGCTTTACAAATACAGAGAGAAGAAAGATTGTGTGTACATGTGTGGATGTGTGTGTGCAGTTGTGTGTGTCCAGGAAGAGTAAGAGGGGCGTGTATCAAGAGGAATCAGGGAAACTTCTTAATCTGATAAATAAAATACAGCTACAGAAAGCAAATTGAAAGGAGACCCAGAGTCAAGTAAATTAGGATTAAGTGTATTCATACTTATGTTTCAAGCAACTAATACATTGCAGACACAGTACTAGACACTGAAGTAATAAAGACAAATGAGACTTATGACATATCCTCAAGAGGTCTCTCAACCATGTGGAAAGAGACAGGTATCTAAATATATTAATGAAGTGTTCACAGCTGTTAGAAGTACTTCCAGGGTAGCTAAATGACACAAGAAAAAAGTTAGGCAGGGATGGGAGAGATTTCCAAGGTAAGAAACAGTCATGGGAGAATTTTCTAAGTGGGCACCACTAGCTCTGGTGTGTGAGCAACGAGAGGAAGTAAAACATTAAAAACAAACAAGCAAAAAGAAACATAGTCAAATTTATTATCCTTAAACCACAAAAATCAAGTCTTTGGTTGTACAAACATCACTAGTGACAGTCCTGTCAAAGAGGCTTGCTGTAGAAGGGGCAGTGAGTAAGGTCAAAACTCCTGAAGGGTCTCTTTAAAGCCCAGAGACAGCAGATGGCATAGCAGTTACATCACCGGACTCCTCATGGCTGACCACAGTTCTAGTCCCAGACCCAGCGACTTGAAAATTACGTCAGCCCCATGTGCATCCTCCATCCTGGGAGGAGAATGGAGGAGAAGGGATTGCCGTGTGACCAACCTCCCTGGGGTGGGGGTGGGGGGGCGATTTCTCACTTTTTCTCTCACCGTCTCCCCCCCCCCTTGAGCAAGTGTACATACTCTGAGGCAAAAAATTCTAAAAAAAAAAAAAAAAAGCTAACACCCCCAGGTTAAAAGATCTGAGCACAGCAGGTGCGGGATCTGGCAAGGCCCCCACCCCAAGTCATGGGAAGGCAGAGTGAAACGTTCTTAATCATGTGCTCCTCACTTCTAGGCTCAGAGTAAACGTTTGGTATGACTCCTAGACAGCCAAGCAAGAGATTTCTGAGGTTGCCTGAAACCTGCCCAACTCTGTCAACTCCCCTAAACAGAGCCCTGCTCCACAGAAAACAATGTACCAATTTCTTGGAACCCATTGCTTTTTGTACTTTCTGCCACAAATAAAAACTGTCTGGGTGATTTTTAAAGGACCGTTAGTAATTAATTTTTGTCAAGAGAGGTATTTGCTATAGGGTGCATGCACTTGCCAGAGACACAGAGAGACAGAAATCACTCCCCAGGAGGTATGACCATGCTGCAGTCCCTTCTCTATTCTCCTCTCAGGATTTCGGGCACACAAGCACGTGTTCCCGGAGTGAGTTTTAAGCTGCCGGGTCTAGACCTCAAACCGTGGTCTCCTATGTGGGTGTTCAGCAACGTAACCTTTACTCCGTCTGCTGGTCCCAGTGATTAATTTTTTTTAAATATAAAGTTTATTCTTTTTATTTCTTCCATGCGAGAGAGAAACAGACATTCCTAGCAGGGTCCTCACATGGCCAGCCTGGGTCACCGGCATGCTTCAGTAAGCCAGCATGTGCAGGAAGTCCTGGGGAGTGAACCTGAGACCTTCCCACGCGGGCCCACTTGTGCTACTGCTGTCCCGCTGCCTAGTGATGAACTTCTGATCATTTTTCTTATTGGAAAGATAAATGAACAAAGTATTTCAGAACCAGAGAAAGCAGATGGAAGGCTGACTTTCTCAAAACCAACGTATGCAGGTATTTTAAGATAACGATCTTATCTGCGTTGATTTATTGATATCTTCAGTTTTCTCCCACATGTTTAGAGAAGGCCTGGAATAGCAACTTTGCACAGAAGTTAACTTGCATTCTGCCAACTTTCAGATACAAGGCACGAAGGACTTCACAAAAGCAATGATTATTAAAACTGCAGCTAACATGAAAAAGTACAGGTGGAACATTAGAAAGTATGCACCTACACGTAAAATTTCTGCTGCGCCGGGAGCCTTAGGTGAGTCAGATTTCTTTGAGCATTTGTGAGATCCTATTCTGTCCCCCCTTTTTCGAATTATTTTATTTATTTATTTTTCAAGTGAGTTTTGCTAGAGAAAGACAGAGAGAGAGAGAGAGGGAAGGAGGGAGAGTGAGAAAGCAAGCCACCAGGTCCAGGACTCGAACCACAGTGGGTCATACAGGAATTCCAGCACCTTAACTACCACGCCACCTGCTGGTCCCTCCCACTTTTTCTTTTTAAAATAGCCAAATAGTGGGGCCAGCTGGTGGTGTGGTAGTTAGGGTGCTGGACTCCCATATGGCCAACCATGGTTTGAGTCCCAGATCCTGTGACTTGAAAATCACACTGGGCACATGTGTGTGCATGCCTAAAATCCCAAGAAGAGGATAGAGAAGGGATTGCGATGTGACCATCTCCTGGGGGAGGGGGTGATTTCTCACTTTCCTTCTCACTATGTCTCTCTATCTTTCTCCAGCAAGTTTACATATCCTATAGCAAAAACGTAAAATAAATAAATACATAAGGGAAAATAAATTTGAGATCGGTTTTTACATTGAATAATAAGGAATTAAATTATGGGACAAATAATTATAGAAGTTAGTATGCATTATTTCACTATTGGCTAAATAATGTCATGAATTTAGAACTATATTTTAAAATTCTGAATGTCAATGAAAATATTATCAATCAAAAGATAAACAAAGGACAATTCACAGAAGGGAACAAAATGGAGGGCTAGCCTAGAACGTAGTGTTTAAGGTGGCTGGAAGCCACATGGCCGACTGTGTGGTCTGAGTCCCAGACTCAGGGGCTTGAAAGCATGTCAGGCATATGTGTGCACGTTCCTAAAATCCCAAGAGCAGAAAGCAGAAGGAGGGGATGTAACGTGGTCATCTCCTCTGGAGGGTGCTTTCTCACTGTCCCTCTCTGTCTGTGTCTCTCGTAGGCGAGTGCATGTGCCTTATACTAAATTAAATATATATATATATATATTAACAGGGAGAATGAGATCCCATAGCCCAGTATACACACAGTCCTAATGTCACCATGTTGTATTCTTGGGTTTGTGTATTTGCTGGTCTGACTTCCCCACTAACTAAAACTTCCAGGAAGACGAGGGTCTGAAAACTCTTTTGCTTTCTCCTGTACCACCATTGCTTACCAAAGTGCCTGGCATGCTCACTAAGTGTAAATATAAAAGTATTTGGGAATGTTGGGACAATAGATTTTGTCTTTTTACTTTCCAAACTTTCTGCACATTAGCTATGTCCTCTTTATAATAAGACATTTTTCATCATTTTGTAAAAGGCAACCCTTTTCCCACCAATTGAGATAACCACCAATTTCAGATCACAGATCTTGAAATGTGAGGATTTGAACCTGGTCTAATGTGATAGGTAGATGGATTGAAGCAGTCACTTGTTGCAGTGCTTGAACTAACCGTCTTTTTTGAACCAATTTAGACAACACATTTGAAGAACGCCTTTCAGAAGACGTGAGTATGAAGGAGGTAAGCGGTCTCTTTGAAAGTTTTATTGTGGGTGAAAG